AATTTAAACCATGTACAACTAATTGAAAAGAGAAAAGCAGAGAAACAGAACAGAACTTTGGAACTGAGTATATGACAGTCAGTCAGGAGAGAAATGAGCGAGGAGCTGAGTACCGCAATGCATCCTCTAGGTGGGGAGAGAGCGCCCATCCTCACCCCTCAGACAGGTGTGTGGGCTCAGCACTGACCCGAGCACACGAAGAAGAGGACGAGGTCAAGGGTCTGCTTCAAAAACCCACGCGCACCCTATACCACCAAGGAGCTGCCCAGAGGGAGCGCCGCCTGGCAGGAGTCAGGCAGTAGTGCAGACAGTGGGGAGCCGCCAGACTGGCCGGTCCAGGGAGAAGCATCAACCAGACGTGATGGCCAAAACCATGAACCCAAACCAACCACGTCCCCCTCCCAGAGTAGCCAAGCTGCGGCCTGTGGCCGGCAGTATTGCCAACAGTCAAGGAAAGCGGCGCTCTCCCTCTGGGAGCAGGCATGTGCATGCACCGCTGGACCCACCAAGGCCTCGGGCCACGTTGCACAAAGGTGGGCCCAGTGACTAGGGTAGGCTCAAGAGGTGGCGGTGGGGATCAGGTGCATGCAGGGAGGAACGGAGAGGGGCCCGCTTTGGTGTCCACTGGGAGAACAGGGGATGAGTCCTGTGAGAAGGGAGGAGTGAGGCTAACTCCCAGGACTGGGGCCAGGGCACTGAGACTAGAGGGTGTGTGGCCGTGGGCGGACACACAGAGGGAGATGGTGGAATGCGACCGTGGTGGGACACACGTGGGGCTAAGCATCTGGGGAGAGGCCCAAGCCAGACTGCAGAATTGGAGCTGTCTGGCACCTGGGAGTCAGTGTGGAGACAGGTGTGCCCCCATGAGCGGGGTAGGGAACGGGCCTGGGGCTGGAGCTGCAGGAGGGTTGGGAGGGGGGTAGCAAATGACTGACTCCAATGACAAAATGACTCTTACAATAAAAATGGAAGGCAGAATGAGGAGTAACTCACGGATTCCATGTTCTGGATGACAACAGCGCATGGCTAAAGCCCAGCAGGACAGAAACCTGCGGGGCAGTCAGCTCTGAAAAGGGACCTACCAGCAGGATTGCTGCTTTGGAGTTACTGTCTTTCAAACTCTCCCCCGACTCACCAAGGCACCAAATTTCCATGTTTTGCAAACTCACGAAGGACTGGAATTTGCTGGCCCCAAGAACCCCTGAGGGAGCAGCCCCGCAGCTCTGTGGGCAGGAGAGCAAGGCAGACACTGCAGCCACCTTGCTGACAGTGCTGACCCACTCAGCAGAGGGCATCCTTGGCCACTTTCCCACTGCTCCCAGTTTGCAATTCTGGGGTGACAGTGGATGACACTCTCACCTTCCAGTTCAAAGTCGTGTCTCCCATGAGCTGGTGGAAGCGCTGTGACACGCTCTCCTGGAAAGTCCTGTTCTCATAGCGCTCACAGCCAAACTCTCCCCGAGTGGCAGCCTCTGCCAACTTTAACTGAAGGAACACGACGAGGTCCGGTTTCGGGAGGCCCACGTCGGGCTGCTTGCACCAATCCAGGGAAAAATCCTGGCAAAACGAACCCAACAGTTAGAGAAAGGAAGCTTCATAGAGTCTAGTTTTTGGTTTCAAAATTCATAAAAAAGGGGAAAACATGAGCTATCATTTGTTGAGATACCGAGACATGAGAAGTCCTAGATAGTAGTGGCTCTCTTTTTATTTTTTAGATCTCAAATGTTTTGCTTTCCCATGCCACCTTCTTGTTTTGACTCTGAATATGTTCAAAAGCACACAGAATGCACGTGGCCCCATGGATCTGTCACCCACAGCTGGGTCCTCAGATGGTCATGCTGATGCAGCTCGAACCCTCTGGCCGGCTAGAACGCACAGTCCATGTGCCAGAGACCCTGGGCATAGGAGGCCTGGGACGGAGAACAGATGGGGCCAGCGACGGGCACAGGGCCCTTGGCCGTGTCCTTTCACCCACATCTGCCGGGGTGTCATCTGCTTCTGGAGAGAGGGAAACCGCCTTGAGCGCACACCGTGTGACGTCTTCTGCACGTTCTCTCTTGCTCATCCCATCAACTCTCTAAAGATAGTGTCCCCATTGCTGAGGAAAAGGGAGGGCCAGCAAGTCCATGAATCAAAGCCACACAGCTCTGAAGACTTAGGGTTAGAACCCAGCTGGGAGTTCAGAGCCACATGCTGAGGACAACACTGAGCAGAGTGATGAACCCGTCGGCTCCTCAGCAGCACATGAGGATGTGAGGGAACCACGGCCTGTCAGTCACCTGTCTTGTCCTCCTTTCACAGACGGAATCTGAGTGACCAATACTTCATGGGGAAGTGTCCTTTAAGGGGGATTTCAGCTGGCACGTGAAGGATAGGCAGAATTCAAAGGTTATCATTTGCAACCACTCATGAATTAACCATCATCGAGGGCTGTTATCACAAGAGAGACGACCAGATATCCTGTGCCTCCTGATAGGAGAGCCACTGCTCCTTATTGAGCCTCGCAAAAATAAAATTAAAAAAACTCTAATGTAAGGAAAAAAAGAGATGTGGGAACCTATATGCATTAAAAGAGACTTAAGAGTATGGACCTTAACTGGATTCTGATTCAATCTAACTGTAAAAACACAAGATGATTCAAACAGCTCGAGAGGGGACTGTGAACTTTAACACCAACTGAATGACGACATTATGAATGACTGCTCACTTTTTTGAGGTGAGATTATGTTTTTAAAAAGTGATTTTGGGGATGTGCACTGAAAGGTTTATGAAGGACTTGATGATGTGTTTGGTGGGTCCTAGAGATAGACGTGCTGAGGCAGGTGATGGTGCTGGGGGTTTATCGTTTTCTCTGCTGTTATATACTTGAAAATTTCTAAATAAAAAGCAGAAAAAAGGGGCCATGCAGTCACTGCCATCATACCTGTGAAACAACAGCTACCTGGGACAGGGAGGTCAGGAAAATAAAAATAAAGTATCCCGGACATGCCTGCTGTCTGGTCTGAAAACAAAGACACTAGACGAAAAAGTTCTGCTGATGGAGCATCTTTGAAAATGTATCATCCAAACAAGAAATACAGTTCTATCTGTGAAAACAACCTGTAGCTACACAAACGTCTGCTCTTCCTGAATAAAGACCAGATTAACTCAGTGCACACACGGACCATAAGACTCCCAGGGGCAGTGATGGGAATGTATGCATGCTTCTCTGTGACAAAAGAACAGAGTCCACTCCTGGCACCATCCCACGGGGCTGAGCGGCACTCACCGCCTTGGCGCTGGTGTAGGCGACACCAGAAAATGCATATCTGTCCACGACGAGGGTGACGCCCTGGCTCAACTTCTCCTTAATTAATGGCCTAAAAAACAGAGAATGCTTCTGACCCATTTGGTTCTGGCTTCACAGGCCCTGAGCTATCATGCTTAAATCATCCTGACGATACAACTCAGCAATTCAGAAAGCGACACAATGAAGGGATTATGGGGCAGCGATTTGTAACCTTATTTTTATTCAAAAAAGCTCTGGATCTTCTCTTTAGACGATGCCACATGGGCACTCCCAGAAAAGCCCACTATGAAAAAGACAAGTCCACTGAACACAGCTGATAAAGATGGATGCTCACAGGAAGGCTTGCTCAACTGTCCGGACAGGGGTGTAGAGGGGCAAGGCTACCCTACTGGGGAAAGGAGAACCTGGGCTAAGGAGAGGGCAGGAGTGGACGCAGCCTGGAGGTGATGCAATGGTGCTCGTGCCCTTGAGCCAGAAATGCAAGGACACAGATGGAAGGGATGCTGAGGAAGATCTCAACTAGGTGACGGCAGGTCCACCGGCATCCCCTAGCCCCAAGATCTTAGGAAGATGTGCAAAGACAAAGGGTTTGACACTAGCAAGAAGCATCGCTTGCACTTTGGGGAACAAAAAGATGTTTGATACCTGTGACCTTGAGAAGCTCACAGAATAGCTCAGGGGAGAAGACACACTTCCAACAGTCAGATGCAATTTTCATCACAGCATTATTTACAATTGCAAACTATTAAAAAACAACCTAATCTCACAAAATTGGTAGAATCAACATGGCACATGCACAACAGCGAATGATACAACTGTATAAAGCATGAGGAAGATGTCTCTAAGCAGATATAAAATGGTCTCCTGGGCCGGCCCCGTGGCTTAGCGGTTAAGTGCGTGTGCTCCGCTGCCGGCGGCCCGGGTTCGGATCCCGGGTGCGCACCGAGGCACCACTCCTCCAGCCATGCTGAGGCCGCGTCCCACATACAGCAACTAGAAGGATGTGCAGCTATGACATACAACTATCTAATGGGGCTTTGGGGGAAAAATAAATAAATAAAATCTTTAAAAAAAAAAAAATAAATAAAATAAAATAAAATGGTCTCCTGATGTGATGTTAATGAAGCGAAGTACAAATAAGTACATACAGAATGTTACCTTTTGTATAAGAAAAAAGGTGAATTAAGACCACGCCTGCGGGCCGGCCCCGTGGCTTAGCGGTTAAGTGCGCGTGCTCCGCTGCTGGCGGCCCGGGCCCCGGATCCCGGGCGCGCACTGACAAACTGCTTCTCCGGCCACGCTGAGGCCGCGTCCCACATACAGCAACTAGAAGGATGTGCAGCTGTGACATACAACTATCTAATGGGGCTTTGGGGGAAAAATAAATAAATAAATAAATAAAATTAAAAAAAAAAAAAGACCACACCTACATTATCTGCTTATTTTGTAAAAAAAAAAAAATTCAGGAGGGGACATTAGAAATGAATGGAATGGGTCACCCAAAGGGGAGGGCAGGAGTCGCACAGAGGGGGATGGGCAGGGCACTGACCTTTTGTATGGTTTTGACTTAGAACCATTTAATGTCTTATGTATTCAAAAACTAAATCAACAAGGATGGAAAAAAAACCCCTAAAATTATATACAGAGTCAAATGAACCCAACTGTACCCCAGATGAACACACAGAGAAGGGGGAACTTGCCCTAAGACTTGAACACAGCACTTCATGTGCCTGTTCTAATGGCAGAGCTGCATACCAGCCTTGACCTCGACACAGGCTTTTACACAAGTGTGGGAGCAGCAATCCTAAAACCATTCTTCGTGGACTGCAGGACTGGCAACGGGGGAGCCTGGGAGAGTCTGCAGTGCTGGGCTAGAACAGCAGGTGTCAGCGTGAACTCACCAGTTTTAGTGTGAACATACAGACAAATAAACAGAAACAGACACAGAGAAGATAAATGTGCATGTAGGTCTGTCCACCGTAGGAGCCTAAAAGCAGGGATGTCCCACTAGCAGTAGGCACACCTAGCACCCCACTGGTTTCTAAACCCCACTCTCCACTAAAGGGACACAAGAGCTGGTTCCCTGGCTGGAGCAGCAGAAAACATGAGAGAAGCCCAAACATCTTGTCACCAAAAAGTAAGTGCTCAAAAGGTGAGGTCTGGGAACACGTCAAATGGATATGGGAGCCAGCTTGAAGAGATTCCCACAGGCCAAATCTGCAACAATCTGAACGTCAAAACAAATGACAGCAGTGGCCTATCACCCAGTGAGTAAAAAAGAACTTGTGAGTCCATACTGATGATGGATGGAGACAGCAGAACAGCTCTTCCTTACGTAGAATGCCAACCAATAAATGTAGAAGGAATAACGGAATTAGAAAACCACCATATGGGGCCGGCCCCGTGGCTTGGTGGTTAAGTGAGCGCGCTCCACTGCTGGCGACCCGGGTTCGGATCCCGGGCTCGCACCGACGCGCTGCTTCTCCGGCCATGCTGAGGCCGCGTCCCACATACAGCAACTAGAAGGATGTGCAGCTATGACACACAACTATCTACTGGGGCTTTGGGGGAAAAAAAAAATTAAAAAAATCTTTAAAAAAAAAAAAAAAAAAAAGAAAACCACCATATGAAATCATAATAACGGACTCAGACAGGATGATTAATGAATGCTAACGTAGGAGATCAAAGTTTGATGGGGAAGGGGATATTTACGTAGTTCTGCAGTATTTCCCCTTTGACTGTTTACAACAGGAAACAGTGTCACTTAGTGGATGAGCCTGGCCGGCACCACCTTCACAAGTGTTCCAGGGGAAACCCCAGTGACGGCCGCGCTCCCTCGCGTCCTCCTGGCATGATGCCCTAAGGAGGACCCAATGTCACTTCTGTGGTATTCCTGCCAAAGACATACACCCAAATCCACTTGTGAGGAAACGTCAGACAAACCCAGAGGTTTATAGAACAAATAAAATTTTTAAAAAGAGGGTGAGTGAGCGACAAAGTGTGACAGAATGTAAATACCAGGTGAAGCTGAAGCTTCGTGAAGGGCAGACGGGAACTCTTGGTACTGTTCTTGCAACTCTTCCCATTGACGGAAACGCCTTCAATTACTAAATCGCTAAGAAAAGTAAGAGAAATCACTCATTTCCAGGAATGAATTCCTGCATGGAGGCATGTTTAAGATGGCCCTAGAGGATCGGTATTTTTTGGCTAACAGAGAGCGGGAGGGAAGTGGAGGGTGTTACCCCATTCTGTGCCAGGAAACTGCACAGAAGCCAGAAGGCGAGCTATCTGCAGGGACCAGCAAACAGTCCAGTGAAGATACAGTACAGCGAGAGGGGGAAAGTTAACAGGCTGGAGGAAATAACCAGTTTCCTCACAGGGTGCTTCAAGTACCAGGTGAGCTCACGACAGCCCGGGCTTACTGAGCACTCACTCCCAGGACTGCCTGGCCGACTCCAATGGACCATCACACCAGACCTACCTCGCTGATGAGGAAGCTGTGGTTGAGAGGGGCTGGGCAAGACCAAGGTCACACAGCCGGGAGGCACTGGTGTCGAGGAGAACCCCGCATCTGAACTCTCACCCAAGGACGTTCAAGTTTCAGAAAGACTGATGTGACGGCAGTGGCTGAAATGATCTGAACGGGGAGCTGTGGGAGGTGGCAGAACAAACCACACACAGGCAGGCCTGCGTACCTGGGACAAGACCACCATTTAGGAAGTAGAGTCAACATGACTTTTCATTTTGAATTGGGCCTACATTACTTTTCTACAAAGCCACAAAAAGCAAAATTAGAACAATGATGTCCATAAATTCCAGATGTATTAAAGATTATAAGAATGGTCTCATTTTCATCTAATACTTGGAGTGGGGAAGGCCTTTCTAAGCAAGAAACCAAGCTAAGCCAGAAGAGAGTAGTGCAGGCTTGCTCGTAGGAGAGAACAAAGCAAAACCACCTGAGCATCCATCCACAGGCATCTGGCTACACCTACTGTGGAACAGCCTTTCTAGAGAGCACTCTGCAGCAACGGGAAAGAAGATGCTACCTCGCTCTTAGTGCTGAGATCTACAAGCAGAATCGGAAAGCAAGCTGCAAAATGACTTCTATGGTAGGGTCCCCTTTATTTATCTTAAAAAACAAAACAACTCCAACAACGTATGTGTGTTATCTACATACGGGCGCAAATGGGAACAAAAGCACCCGAACGCCTACACTATCGGCACTCAATGAGCAGTTAAATGTTGAGTGAAGAGGGACTCTACCAAGACGATGTGAAACAAAGAGGGAGTGGGAGAGGGTAAACCTCAATGTAAACTGTCAACTTCAGTTAACAATGTTTGTCAACTGTAACAAATTGAACAGGCTAATCGAAAAAAATAAAAATAAAAACAAAAAAGAAATAGGCTAATGGAAGATATAATCTGATAAGAGAAAGAGTGGAGGAGGAAGAGAGGGGGATAGGGTTAGGGGGAACTCTCTGTACTTCTTTCTTCTGTGAGGAAGATCAGCCCTGAGCTAACATCTGTCACCAATCCTCTTTTTTGCTGAGGAAGACTGGCCCTGGGCTAACATCTGTGCCCATCTTCCCCCACTTTATATGGGACGCCGCCACAGCATGGTTTGACAAGCGGTGCGTGCCTGGGATCTGAACCGGTGAACCCCGGGCCGCTGAAGCGGAGGAAGAGCACTTAACCTCAGCACCACCGGGTCGACCCCTCTCTGTACTTTTTGATCAGCTTTTCTGTATACTTAAAACTACCTAAAAAAATAAAATCTATTGGGGCTGGCCCCGTGGCGTAACGGTTAAGTGTGCATGCTCTGCTGCTGGCAGCCCAGGGTTCGGATCCTGGGTGCGCACTGATGCACCGCTTGTCAGGCCATGCTGTGGCAGCGTCCCATATAAAGTGGAGGAAGATGGGCACAGATGTTAACCCAGGGCCAGTCTTCCTCAGCAAAAAAGAGGAGGATTGGCAGGATGTTGGCTCACGGCCGATCTTCTTCACACAAAAAAACTTAAAATAAATAAATAAACAAAGTCTATTAATTACAAAAACCGGGGAGGCAGGAGAAAGAAAAAGCATTAATTAATGCTCATTGGGAACTACAGAAATATAGGACCTCCGGCCATGGGACTGGTGATTACAAGACCCTCCTATAGGTACAATCGGTAAAATCTCCAGTGTCACTGTTGGCACATTCACTGAATCTCACGAGGCCAGGGGAGAGGCGGCAGAAGGGAAATGTTTTTACACTTGTTCCCAGCGGTTCGCAGAGAAAAGCAGGTGCACCGAATGATTTTCCATCTCATTTTTCTTTTCCAAGTAAGAACTCAGAAGTCTGCCAATTTCAGTTGATCTTTCTAAAAAGAAAAAAAGAGAAAAACACACACAAGTGAGGTGAGGCTTTCATCTAAATTAGAATTTAGTGTAGCCTGAACTTCAAGTCCTGTACTCAAGTCTAACTTTGAGTTTTATTTTACAACGTCTTTAGACAGGTTCAGACCTGCCCCTGAAGCCAAAGGAGTTTTCCTGAGGAAGGGCAGCAGTGTGCAAACACACTGGGATGAAAAACTCTTTAGGAAAAAGGAACTCAGGTAGAAAGCACTGACCTCAAAGGAAGTATTTATAAGATTTGTAGACTGGTTGGCTTAAAGATTAGAATGATAAATATTTAAAAAAGCATTTTTTCCCATTTCCCTACCCCTGTTTTGTAAACCTTAAGCTGTCTCTTGATATTCTAAGTATTGAGGATATTTTTATAAGCACTTTCAATGTCAATGTTTTACTTTAAAAACTAAAAATATGCCATAAAACCAGTGAGAAGTCAAACAGCTGTCCAAAAAAAACCAAAAATCGAGACATGGATTACAAAAGAGCGCCAGGGAACTTCTGGAGATGACAGATACAATCGTTATCTTGATTGGGAAGTGGTTTCATGGGTGTACAATAATGTGAACACTCATTGAACCACACGTTTTCAACACGTGCACTTTATTGTCCACCAACTGTCGATCAGCAGAGCTCCATACAATCAAAGCACAGCTGCACCAAGACTGAGTGACGGGGCCCGAAGACCACTAGGAACGACAACGTGCGTCCTGCACGACGCACAAAGGCGCCAGCGCCCCAGGGAATCGTCTCCGCGGAGTCAGAGCGCGAGCGGGGGCCTTAGCGAGCCTCGGCTGCTCTCAGTCTACACTCTGCCATCGGGAGGAGCCACGACGGGGGCACGGAGCCAGCAGCCGGGCTCACCGCACGGCGCCCGCCCGTGGTCCCCGGTCCTCCCGTCCCTTGGCTCTCCCATCCCCCCGGGTCCCCCGGTCCTCTGGGTCCCCCAGTCCACCCAGTCCTCCAGTCCGCCCTCTCCCCGGCCCGGCCTTTCCTCCCGGCGGCTCCCCATGCCCGCCGCGCGCCCCACCCACCTGGGAAGCTGAGCAGCTCGGCGCGGTGGCCGGCGGCGCACAGCGCGGCCACCAGCTTGCGGCCCTGCGTGCTCTTCCCGGCGCGATCCACGCCCTCCAGCACGATGAGCGCCCCGCGCCGACCCGCCATCGCCGCCTCTGCACGTCGCGCCCCGTTGCCGCGCCGCCGCACCGCCCGGAGCTCCCATTGGCCGGCTCCCGCGGCGCGCGCTGGGATTGGCTGAAGTGTGTCGGCGTCCGCGGCGCGCGTTGGGATTGGCTGAAGTGTGTCGGCGTCCGCGGCGCGCGTTGGGATTGGCTGAAGTATGTGGACGTCCGCGGCGCACGTTGGGATTGGCTGAAGTGTGTCGGCGTCCACGGCGCGCGCTGGGATTGGGGAGAGGCAAGACGCCTTGGTCGCACCGCCTCTTCCGGGCCGGAAGCTGGGCGGGCCGTGTCCCGCGCGGGCCGCCGTCCTTGCTCGCGCGGAGAGGGAGGCAGGCGGACCTGTTAGGTCTCCCGATTCGGGGACAGCCGGGCGCGCGGCCGCTCCGACGGTGTCCTGCGGGCGGGGCGAGGAGGGGCTGTCTGCGCTCAGGCCTCGCGACAATCTGGAGAGCACTGGGATTGTCGCCGTCGTCGCTAACGCCCTGAGAGCCACGTTCCGACGACGTGTGCAGATTCACGGGGGGGTGGGGGGGAGTTGTGGATCGCCGCGTCCTGGCTCTGTGAGGTGCGGGCCGCACGTGGTCAGCACCCCTGTCGCGAGGGCGGTGCCCGTCGGGCTGGAGACGGCCGCGGCGTCTAGGGAGCGCCCAGTGATGTCGCCCTTGTCTTAGGGACGTCCCGGCGCGCGGGACCGCGCACTTGGGGAGTCTCTGCCTTTCTCCTCGCATCGCGACCCCGCCTTCATGACCTGGTCTCCTCCCGGGGGCCCATCCCCGGATACCATCACACTGGGGGGTCTGGACGCCAACATTGAATTTGGGCGGCCACATTGATTCAGCCGGGAACTACCTTTCCCAGAATTTCCCCCGTGTGGCGTGGGGTCAGAGTTTGCCCGTGAGAGGCACTCGCGCGCAATTTGGAGGCTGTTGATTTTGGGGAGGCAGTCGCAGCCAGAAATGCAGCAGACATGAAATTCAAGACTGTTTTCTCGGGAGCTCTTGGGAGCCACCTGCTTGCTGCTGCCGACCAAGAGACTGGGGAGGATTTCTTGGGGCGGGGAGTGGCAGTGGCTTCCGGCGAGCTGTTGAGACCACCCTCTTCACGCTGGGGCTGAGGTCCTTGGCAACGGTTTCCCTCATCTTTCCTCCCCCCATCTTTTCCACGGTTGCACAAGCCCCTGATTACCTTATGACGGGAGATACGTAGAGTAGCTTTATGTTTTTTGCTTGACCGTTGCCTGATTGGGTTTCAGGTTCTGGAGGGGTGATTAGGTTATATGGTTATTCCAATTTGCTTCCTTTCTTCATGTTGATCTTGGCCATGTGACTTCAAATTCTGCTGCAAAGTCATCAGAGCGGACATGCTCATGTTCAGGCAGAAGCTTTAGGAGCTGTTGTGTGGTTCACCCATCCCTTTCCTGCCTCCCAGTGTAAGAACAGCGTGTGCACAATTAAGGCTGTTTTTTTCACTCTGGATCCTGGAATGAAGACATAGGGCCACAGCCAAGCTACAGCCACTGCAGCTGATGGCACCAGCAAGAAATAACCCATTGTGATTCTGAGTCACTGAGATTTTAGGATCCTTTGTTACTGCAGCACAATGTAGTGAAAGCTCGCTGATACAAAGACTAGTGCTTAATATCGCCTCGTGTAGGCAAGTAATATTCCTTCAACCGATTGATGTCTCGTTTAAAATGTCCATCTCCTTGCCTTCAGAAGGATGAAGGGATTACAGTACAGAAGAGAATCTTCCGGGATTGGGCAAGTCCCAGGACAGCCTCAGAGCACATCTGTAGGATGAGCTCACCAGGCAGACAGGGAGGAACACACGTGCAGGATGTTGGCTTGTGAATGCATAGCCTTCCTGGTCACCCATGAAAATGAAGGGAACCTGGCTGATGGGGGCCTTGTATGCCCGGTGGGGTGGGGGTGGGGTGCCTTTTTGATTGCAGAAATTGCTGAACACGGCACAATTCAGAATTGTGCTGAAATTGCACAAGTACAGTGAAGTTAGTTATTAAGACACAACAAGCGGGCCGGCCCCGTGGCTTAGCGGTTAAGTGCGTGCTCTCCACTGCTGGCGGCCCGGGTTCGGATCCCAGGCGTGCACTGACGCACCGCTTCTCCGGCCATGCTGAGGCCGCGTCCCACATACAGCAGCTAGAAGGATGTGCAGCTATGACATACAACTATCTACTGGGGCTTTGGGGGAAAAATAAAATTAAAAAAAAAAAAAGACACAACAAGCAATTTTGCTTCCACCTCTTCCAAAGTGGCACTCCTTTTTTTATCAGGATGCCTTTAACTGTAAGTACCAGAATACCAGCCTAACTGTGGCTTAAATCATGAAGATATTTAATCATCTCATATCGCGAAGTCCGGAGTTAGGCAGCCAAGAACTGCTTTTGCTGCTTAGTGATATCCAGTGTTGGGTCAACATCTTAGCAGTTCACTTAGCTTTTCCTTCATGGTCATGAGTGACTGCAGCATCTCTGTGCATCCAGTCCTGACTTCATGGCCCTGATGTGGGCATAGGAGAGCCCTCACATCTGGACATTCACTCTCTTGTGTGCTCTGCTACACTGACAAGTCTCAGGCCTGATTTTCAGCACAGTCTGCCCTGGAGCATGCGAGTAGGATCTCTTCATGCTACCGTGGAGGCCTTCTGATGGGCGGGCACCATGGAGGAAATGATGGGGTGATGGGTCTGAGTGTGCTTGGAGACAAGCAAAATAAAACTGGTCATAAGTTGATAATTGCTGAAACTGGCTGATGGGCACATGGGGTTTATTAGGTTCTTTCTACTTTTGTGTGTTTGAGATTTTCCATTTAAAAAAAAGACGCTAAAACCCTTTTCCTGTTCCTTGTTTCTTAGTGTGTTACACCTTCTATCTCACAGGAATTGTATCAGACATTGCTACTATCCAGCAAAGTCTTTCTGTCTTAGCTGGGCTGCCATAACAAAATGCCATAGACTGGGGGGCTTAAACAGCAGAAAATTTATTTTCTCACAGTCTGGAGGCTAGATGTCCAAGTTCAAGTCGCCAGGAGTGTTGGTGTTTGGTGCGTCTGTCCCTTTGAGTTGCAGATGGCTGCCTTCTCATTGAATAGAGTGTCATATAGTTGGAATCATACAGTTCTCACTGTGTCCTCACATGGCCTTTCCCCAGCACAAGTGTGGGGAGAGAGAGATCTCTGGTGTCTTTTCCTCTTAACTACTCCAAATACAGTCACATTAGGGATTAGGGATTCAACCTATGAATTTTGCAGGGATATTCAGTCCATAGCACTCACCTGCTTCCAGAAGAAGAGAGTCTGCTGGGCACATCACTGCCCTGCTGGACTCCTTTTCTCAGCCCTCCTTTCTGTTAGGCGTGGCCAGGTGACTAAGTTACTGCCAATGAAATGTGAGCAGAAGTGGCGTGTGCTCCTTCAGACTGAACACTCCCTCTGCCTCCCACCCCCCGCAACCCAGCCTTGACTAGGAGGACAATGACGAGGCCCTCTAGGGGCCTGTGCTAGAGGGAATCTGGGTTCCTGAGTGACCCCATGGAGCATGGCTGCCCACCCCCTGGACTGTTCACAATGGGACTGTTACATAAGAAATACAATTCTCTCTGTTCTAAGCCACTGGATTTTGGTTGAGTTTCTTTGTTAGAGTAGCTTAGCCTTTCCCTAAAGTGCTGGTTCTCAACTGGGGGACATTTGGATTGTCACAACTTGGTGTGGGGGTGCTAACAGCATCTAGTGGGGAGAGGCCAGGCATGCTGTTAAACATCCTACATGGCACAGGACAGCGCCCCACAGCAAAGAGTTATTGGCCCAAAATGTCAATAGCTCTGAGGTTGAGAAACCCTGCTCTAAAGTATATAGCAATAAAAAGAAATAGTAAGGGACTCACCTCTCACTTTGGTAGGTTCTAAAACAGGGTCTCTGTAAGAGAATCTATTACTTTTCTTATGTGAATGAAAGAAGACACATTGCTCTCTGGAAGAAGTTATTTCCAATATCTGATATGTGAAGGCCATGCCTCTTAATAATAAAGACTTTTTTTTAAAATTTTTTATTTTTGTGAGGAAGATCAGCCCTGATCTAACATCCATGCCAATCTTCCTCTTTTTGCTGAGGAACATCAGCTCAGAGCTAACATCTATTGCCAATCCTCCTCCTTTTTTTTCCCCAAAGCCCTAGTAGATAGTTGTATGTCATAGTTGCACATCCCTCTAGTTGCTCTATGTGGGACACTGCCTCAGCCTGGCCTGACAAGCGGTGCATCGGTGCACACCCGGGATCCGAACTCGGGCTGCCAGCAGCGGAGCACGCACACTTAACCGCTAAGCCACAGGGCCGGCCCCAAGAATTTTTTTTAGGTGAAAGGCATGAAGACCAATTTCCCCACAGATAATGGGTAAAGGACATAAAGAAAATGATAGAAGAACTACAAATAGTCAATGAATAATGGAAAAACATGTTTAGCCCCACTTAAAATCACAGAAATACAAATTAAAACACTGAGGTTGGTTTTTTTTTGGTTATTTATTTTTTTCTATCAAGTTTGCAAAAGTAAAAAGCCTGACAAAATCTAGGGTTGACAAAAGTGTGGAAACATACTCATGTGGGTGTCAGTTGGTATAACCTTCCCCTTGGGCAATTCATTTAGAAATGTCAGCACTTAGAATATTCGATGCTCTTTGAGCCAGCAATTCCATCTCTAAAAGTTTATCCAAAAGAACAAACCAGACAAGTGGTCAATTAAAGATGGCCACAGTCCTTGTACTCTGCCTATTGACAAGTGGAGTCTAATTCCGCACCCTTCAAATCTGGGCCCCAACGACTTGTTTGACCGATAGAATGTAGTGAGGTGATGTCTTGGGACAACTGAGGTGAGGTCACAAGAGTCTTGCAGCTTCCACTGAGGCCTCCCAGAACTCTCCAGAAGCCCTGAGTGGCCATGTAAGAAGGACTACTACCTGGGATCCCTATGGTGGAGAGGCTACATGTAGGCACTCTGGTCCATGGTGCCAGTTGAACCCAGCCTCCAGCCACCCCAGTGATCTCTATTGTATTACATAGAACAGAAGAATCACCCATCTGAGCCCTCCTGAAATGCCTGACTCATAAAAGTTGTGAGCTATAATAAAATGGTTCTTTTAAACCACTAAGTTTTCAGGTAGTTTATTATGCAGCAATAAATAACCGGAACAGACATACAAACAGCTAAATGAACAAATGTTCACCAGAGCATTATTTATGGTAATGGAAAATTGGAAACAATCAAAAGATTGTGCATCTATAAGGAGTTTGTTAAAGTATGGTACATGAACACAGTGAAATATACCTAGTAAACAGGGTGAAATAGAAGTGAGTAAAGCATGACTAGATGTTGGTGAAGAGTATCAAGTTACAAATGAAAATAGGAGAAAGGTGGACAGTGTGACTCACCAATAAGAAAATCAACAGCCCAATTAAAAAATGGGCAAAAGATTTGGACAGACACCTCACTAAAGACATACAGATGGCAAATGTGCACGTGAAAAGGTGCTCAACACTGTACGTCACTAGAGAAATGCAAATTAAAAAAAAATGAGGTACCTCTACACACCTATTAGAATGGCCAAAATCCGGAAGATTGATACCAAATGCTGATGAGGATGTGGAGCAACATCATTCATTGCTGATGGGAATGCAAAATGGTACAGCGACTCTGGAAGGCAGTTTGGCGGTTTCTTACAAAACTAAACGTGATCTTACAGCATGATCCAGCAAATCACACTTCTTGGTATTTACCCAAAGGAACTGAAAACTGTGAAACACCTGTGCACAAATTATTACAGTAGCTCTATTCATAATTGCCCAAACTTGGAAGCAATTCAATAGGTGAATGGATAAACTGTGGTACATCCAGACAATGGAATATTATTCAGCGTTAAGAAAAAATGAGCTATCAACCCACAAAAAGGCATGGAGGAAACTTAGAATGCATATTACTAAGTGAAAGAAGCCAATTGGAAAAGGCTATATACTGTATGATTCCAACTATGTGACATTCTGGAAAAGGCAAAACCATAGACGGGAAAAACATAGTGTCTGCTGGGACACTATGGGGGGCAAGGAAAGGGATGAATAGGTGGGGAGCACAGGGGATTTTTAGGGCAGAGAGGCTATTCTGTGTGATACTGCAATGGTGGATACATGTGTTTATACATTTGTCAAAACCTATAGAACTGTGTAACACAGAGTGAACCCTAATGTAAACTATAGACTTTAGTTAATAACAACGTATCATTTCATCAATTGTAATAAATGTATGACACCAATGCAAAATATTTATAATAGGGTAAACTGTGTGTGTGTGTGTGGAGGGAGTATCTAGGAACTCTCATTTTCTTCTGTTTTTCTATAAACCTAAAACTGCTCTAAAAAATAGTCTATTAATTAAAAAAATAATTTAGCCACTTAAAACAATAAAAAAGGTGGGTAGTGTGCAATCATGTACGCTGCCTGTGTGCTTTTTCTCATCAAGCATTCAATGGGGCCAGAAAGGATGCACCCAAACTGCTAACATGGATTCAAAGGTGAACAAGAGAGTCCTGTATTCCGGGAGGTGGGGAAACTATAAGTTCCTGAATAGTTTGAATTATTATAATGAACGTAAGATTGGCAAAAACAATGAATAGGTTTCCATTTTTTAGTATTTGGGGCTTCGGGAAGAGTTCACGAAGCGGGGAATATCTCGAAACGCGCATCTTCAATAATGGAACTAGTGCTCCATTCGTCAGGCTGTGCCGCTGGTGTGACCGACAACCTTGAATCTCGGAGTCAAGGATGGGTGGGTTCTGGGGCCCGGGCTCCTCTGGTCTGGGGAACAGCGGTCCCTCGGCACCCTGTACGAGCGGAGGCACGCGGAGCCCCTTCCCCGTGGGCCCGCGCTGGCCGGGGAGGACAGAAGGGCTGCAGCGGCTGACCCTCGACTCCGCTGCCCGTCCAGTCTCCTGCGCGCACCCGAGGGCTCTCGCGGACCCTCTCGTCCCGCGACCGCGTTCGTCCACCTCACAGGCACACGCTCTGCGCCCAACCCTGCCCAGAACTCCCGGACACAGGCGCGGACCTCCGGCGGGGAGCGGGTGGCCGGCCCCCGGCGCCACGTGTCAGCGCGGGTCCCGCCGAGCGGGCGGAGGAAGCGCGTCCTGGGCCCGACCTCGCTCTCACACTGCCCCGCCGGGACCCTAGCCCTCCCCGGAACCCCCGCCGAGCCCCTCCTGCTCAGCTCCCGCGCGGCGCCGCGCGGATCCCGCCGACCGGAAGCCAGGGGGCGTGCACAGCCGGCGCCCCCGCCCCCATCGGCCAATCAGCGCGCGAGACTCATGAATAGTGAGCATGCCGGCCCCGCCCTCCACCCCTCGCGGCACCGCCCGCCCGCGCAGACCCAGAGCGCGGCCGCGGACGAAGATGGCGACCGCCATGTACTTGGAGCACTACCTGGACAGTAAGCGCCTCCCGCGCGCCCCGGGCCCGCCGCCCGCGCGCGGCCCTCCCCGCCGCACACCCCTGCGTGCCAGACCAAGCGCGGGGACCGTGGGGCTCGTGGGGGTTGCTCTATGTGGGACACTGCCTCAGCCTGGCCTGACAAGCGGTGCATCGGTGCACACCCGGGATCCGAACTCGGGCTGCCAGCAGCGGAGCACGCACACTTAACCGCTAAGCCACAGGGCCGGCCCCAAGAATTTTTTTTAGGTGAAAGGCATGAAGACCAATTTCCCCACAGATAATGGGTAAAGGACATAAAGAAAATGATAGAAGAACTACAAATAGTCAATGAATAATGGAAAAACATGTTTAGCCCCACTTAAAATCACAGAAATACAAATTAAAACACTGAGGTTGGTTTTTTTTTGGTTATTTATTTTTTTCTATCAAGTTTGCAAAAGTAAAAAGCCTGACAAAATCTAGGGTTGACAAAAGTGTGGAAACATACTCATGTGGGTGTCAGTTGGTATAACCTTCCCCTTGGGCAATTCATTTAGAAATGTCAGCACTTAGAATATTCGATGCTCTTTGAGCCAGCAATTCCATCTCTAAAAGTTTATCCAAAAGAACAAACCAGACAAGTGGTCAATTAAAGATGGCCACAGTCCTTGTACTCTGCCTATTGACAAGTGGAGTCTAATTCCGCACCCTTCAAATCTGGGCCCCAACGACTTGTTTGACCGATAGAATGTAGTGAGGTGATGTCTTGGGACAACTGAGGTGAGGTCACAAGAGTCTTGCAGCTTCCACTGAGGCCTCCCAGAACTCTCCAGAAGCCCTGAGTGGCCATGTAAGAAGGACTACTACCTGGGATCCCTATGGTGGAGAGGCTACA